TCAATCATAAAATGCTTAACCATTATGCTCCACCCCTAACTGTCTTCAACTTCTGCATCCCACAGCCAGGAGCTGCTTATCTTGCTGCCTTCTTTCTCACATTCAAGCCACAGCAGTGTCCTTGAACAGCTTAGCTTGCAGCTTGCTCAGGCCCTGCTAGCAAGTCCGGATTGCTGCTGGATTGCTCACATGTCCGTTAACAATCAGAAATTCTCCCACAATTTTCAGGCAGAGGCACAGCAGTTTGGTGTAACTGCAACCCCCTGAAGTTACTGCCTGCCTGGGTGGAGTGGCTTCATGCCTCCCTTAGTGCTGCAAACCCATTGCTGCACTCCATTGGTGTTTATGGGATAAAATACACACACATGTGCAAGTAGATTTGTTATCTAAGGCCTTCAGCTTTCTGCTTGCTCGCTTATTTCTGGTCAACTCCATGGTCCCATCTGAGCTGGAAGGGTAGGAGGCTGCTCAGTTCTCCATGGAGAGTTTTAATCCACACACAGAGACACACAGAGACACACACACACCCCTCACCTCACAGGCTGATGCAGTGGGAGTAAAGTTCCCACCATCTCTCTACCCATATTTTCAATGGCAAAACAGAGGGGGAGCTTTTCCTGGGCAGTACAGCTCTTTCTAAGCTTCCTTTGTACACACTTCACCATGGAAGCCTAGGATACTTGCACAGACTGACATTCACAATCGTGGTGGATACTTAAGCCCACTTCTCCCTCCTGTGAGAAATGTACTAACTCCACAAAGAGATCAGAGCTGTGTTGGTAGCTGACTAGATTTCCCTCCCACACTCCCTCCCATGAAGAGCCCTTACAATTCACTGTAGCAATGCTGGTGCACTGCCCTGTTTGGCGTTAGAGCCTGGCTAAGGACAGAAGCAAGCTGGAAAGAGGCTGAACTGACCTGTTGTGGCCCTTTGGTTCCACTTATAGCTAAGCAGTTCTGGCCTCCCTGAAAGACAGATTCACATAAAAATGCATTTCTCTCTTAACAGGAAGACATTAAGCATCTATTCTGTAACAGTTCCACTTTGAAAACAATTTGTTTGTTCAGTTTAATGTTAGTGCTCTATCAGCAAAAACACTATTTAGTGCTACTGATGCCGAGAAAAGGTTGGAAAAGAGCTACTCACAGACTAGTCTCTCTGAGTAGCAGGTATTTGTTTATCCAGCGCTGGGCACAAGAGGGATCACTCCACCAAACTTAGGCAACCAGGGACAAAAACTTCACAGTTTATATACACTAAATTCTCATACATATTCATTATTTCCAGGAATGGGTGGTTATTATTATAATTAGTTCTCAGAAATCATTATCATGTACTCCTCCTCTGTCACCTCCCTCCTGGCATCAGTCCCATGGTCCTGGTGGTCGTTCAGTGGTTGTGAGAATGAAGTGTCTCCTCTTCCTCAGTGCCCTTTGGACACCCTTATTGTGCAACCGTTTGCACCTTTGTACAGTTTTGCATGCCTTGCTGACCTTGCCTCTATCTTGAACATTTTGTTTCTTCATTCCACACCTTACACTGTCTTAGTTTTCCTCTACTGCCAAGGTTTGAGTCTGGTTAGTTCTACTGTCTTATAGATAAGGTGCATCGTTTCACCAACCAAGCCCAAACAATACCATTAGTGAAGTTTCTTGTCTGTACTGTGCAATTCTTGCTATTTTGCTAATTAAGCTGAAATAGTGCTATTAGTAAAGTTATTCTTTATACTTTCAGCTTTAAGTGTTCAATTCCTGCTTTCAATCTACTTCTTGGTATCACTACTATAGTTATTTACACCATTTCTACGTATTTATTTTGGTAAGAACCAGCTGCTGGATTCTTAGGGGTTGCCAAGGTGATATAAAATGAAGTTTGAAACAGACACCTACAGGAAACAGCATGTGGCTTTTCTCAGCTTTTCCAGCTGCTCCACTAATCTCACTAAAGACCTGTCTAGTCGAGAGTACATGACTATTACTTACTTAAAAATCTATGTGCAATTAGATATTAAACAACTGAATCTCTCCCTCGACAAACTTTGAAACAGAGGTGTAGATCTCAACTGCTTTTGGGGAATTTTGTGCTCAACACTCTTTACAGATCCAAATGGTGCTAGAAAGCTAAGGAGACATAAGAACTCAGTTTGTTAGAAGGCAGGACATTGCATTGACATTGTTGGTGTTTTGTTGCATAAAGATTGTTAGGATCAGGAGCCAAAGGCATTATTTTGCCTGCTGGTATCTGCAGACCAGTGGGATCTAAGGCCTACTGGTTTGCTGGTAGAATCAAAGAAGTACCTTCTTAAAGACCTGACGTTAGTTCCTACTGGCAAAAGCTCAAAGCAAAATATTGTGGAGAAAGTCATTTGCCAGTTTTGTGGCCTCTGGATCTGGGATGCCCTCAGTCCCCAGTGCTGCCCAATCTGTGCTGTCAGGCAGCATCTACCACAGCTATATCAACTTGGGTAGAAAATGCTGGTTGGAGTTCCCACTCCAGGAACTGGTTTGGTTTACATCACCAGTAATTCGGAGTACTTACATGTTACCATTTTCTAAGAAATCAGGCAGGCAAAATCTTAGTCATGACATGCCTGTTCTGTGATACTACCAAAGGAAAAACATGAACTAAACATTTCTTCTGCTGCAGGTTTCCCAGTAGTCTGCAAGACAAAAAGACTGTTGAAGAGCAGAGACAAAAAATACTAAAAGCTCTGCCTGAGTTCTGGATTTCATGCAAAGTGTGGCAGAAAGTTATATCTTATTAGGTCTGCTTAGTTACTTAAGTAACTTAATAGGTCAAAAAGATGCAGTGCCCTTCCAGTCATTCTCCTCTTCACCCTTTTAATTTTACTGTGTTTGTAAGAAGAGTCCACCATAGGTGGATCCAAAATCCACTCACTACACTACAGCACTGAGTCTGTAGCCCAGACTTCCCACGTGTTTGTCCCCCATGAACCATATCCACAAAGGCACAAGGTGCACAAGCACCTTCCCACCTTTGTGAGTCTAGGCCCAGACTTAGTCCATTTGGGGAACAGACATTAAGTCTGGTACAAACCATGCACATCTGTAATACCTAATACTTACGAAATGCAACAGTGACTTCCTGGTATTTTGTGGTATTCTAGCTCCTTAGGACATTATTTCCATGATCACTGTTGGTAGGCTATAGAAGAATCATTAAAAGTATGATTTTAAGAAGTAACACATTACATCTGTAGCTGATTATATAAAAATACAAATGTTAACCCACAGCAACATTCTTGAACACAACACAAGGAGCCTGGATACTCTGAAATAAATCACACTAGTAAAGTAGTATGTTCTGTTTCATTTTTATCCTGTCACCCAGAGATTACGTAAATCATTCTTAGCACTCAGTAGTCAGGGATAACATTAATATTTCCCAATGAGACCAAAACCTTTTCACTGAAGAAATCAAGAAAGTAAGCCAAAAAGAAGTTCACCTATACTGAATACTTTAGTTTGTAAAAAAACCAAGTCAGCAAACAAAAAAAACAGCAGATAAGAGTAACTTAGAACACTATTAGGTATCTTTATCAGCCCTATTGCTCAAACATTTGTCATTGTTTTTCAAATATTATCTTTATTGCAATAAAAGGATGATTTGCATGGAAAACAAAAAAAGTGAACTGCTAACACTGTGTATGCTGAAAGTATACTCTTGCTGACATAAGCAAGAGGTGAGAAATAAACCCAAAGGACTTGGATTCTGTTGAACTGTGGATTAATCACCTTGGTAACATACGAAGGTACTGCTTTCCACAGGTGCAAAGCAGGACCTCATCTGACAAACAGCAAAACATGACCACAGCCTAAAGGTATAGAAACCTGCAGATAGCCAGCTCTTGGATCACATCCCATGGCAGGAAGGCCTCAGTCTCCTGCAGTGTGATTTGCAGACTCAGCATCCAGTCCAGTGCCTTGCTGGTCTGGGGAACCTCCTGTTCTGAGCAGACCGTTTGCCAAGGCGAGGTGTGAAAGAAGTGCAACTTTTGACCTGGACACAACCCACCCTGCTGTTCAGCAAAGCTGGACACTGCAGAAAGCTGTCCTGAAACTCCAATCTCTTATCAGTGAGTACGAAGTTAGCCCCATTTTTAGCAGTGATACGAGTTTAGGAGTGCCTCCTGTTGCTGAAAAAGGCTATTGAGGAGATAAACACATTTCATAAACAATTTTAACTATGAAACTTCTCTTCTTATGATTCTGAACTGCACTAGTAGAGAGCAGCAGGGTAGGAAGAGGGTCATGTGCATCCAGAAACATTCCAGCAGCAGCATTCTTGCAGATGTGTAATAAATTACTGATACAAAACAATGATGTTGCCAGAACAGTTATAATTAATGAGTAAGTATATCCTGGCTTCTATATGAATTTACCAATCAGTACTGAAGACAAAATGGTAAACTGGTATCAGATAAAATTCCAACGAATTGAGTTATATTAAGAATTAATCAAGAGGAGGAAGAGCTAAGTGGCTTCACTGACAGAACATGCCAGTATTTGCCAGAAGGAAACCACCTGCTACCACTAAGAAATCAGTTTGAAAATGTTATCCTCTTTCAAGACAAATTTGGGTTTAAGACACTGAAAGTTAACTGGCTAACACACAGCTAGTATTCAGATTTTCCCTTGTGTAATCGCTTCGAACAAGCCAAAGACAAAAAATAAAACACAAACAAAAATTCTTGGAGAACACTGTAAAAAGCATCGATGTATTACACAAACGCTATTTTAACATCTGTGTTGGAATCACTGTTCAAAGATTGACTCCTCTTTTTGCTTTTCCAGCTTCAGGTTTTTTGAGTCAAGGCTAAGAAATGTTTGCGCAGGAAGAAAATGACAGTTTCCTAATTCCAGAGTTTAAAAAAAGGACAATATTAAGTCTATCAATCTTTTCAGGTTTCACCTAGTTTTGTAGAAAAATAATAGTATCTTATATAACCAAAAATATATTACAGATGCCAGCACATACACTACAGTTCTGCTTCAGCACTCTCCTCATCAGGGCAGCAATAGTATTCCACAAAACAGATCTGTCCATCTTCATTCCTAATCATATACTGCAGTGAAAGAAATCCTCGAGCATCTGTTCGAATGGACACTTTACAAGATAAAGCCAGTGCCTTTGTAGATGGTTTAAGCAAAGAAATCTTGTATCTACAGGGGGAAAAAAAAAAGGCAAGCTGAAAAAATGTATTGTGCAAAGAGGAGCTGAAACATTACTCTCAAGTAAGGCCACAGAATAACTGAAAAACAATTGGAAACATGCTTATTTGGTGTTTACCTGGTAACAACATCAGACCAACATTGTCACCACTTAGCTTTCGATTACAGACACCAACCTTTATCAGATGGGAAGTATTTTTCCCCTCATACTAGTAAAATAAATGTCATAGTAATGCAAAAACAGTTTATTAACTTCCCATCAAGAACATATGACCGAGCACACAAGGCACTGATCACAGACTTCCTAACCTGTTCGTCTGGGTCTGGTTACACTGGAATGCTTCCATTAAATCAGAATCCCTAGGGTAGTCCAGGTGTGCACTTCCAGCATTTCCAAAAGTGGATAACCTGGAAGACAAAAAGCACCAATCAAACTATCCGATCAGACCTCTCTAAAAGCTCAACAGAATGAGTCATCGTGCACATCTCAATAACTGCTTCACAAAACAGTGCTATTTGTTTCACTTTATGTAATTAAAAATGCTAACCTGCCCACACAGAATGTTAAGGGGTTGGAATGGACCTTATAGATCCTGGGCAGGAACACTTCCTCACTAGACCAGGTCGCTCAAGTCCTTATCCAACCTGGCTTTGAATACTGCCAGGGGTGGGGCATCCACTGCCTCCCTGGGCAACCTGTGCCAATGTCTCACCACCCTCACAGTAAAACCTTTTTCCTGATACATAATCTAAATTTCCTCTCCTTCAATTTGTACCCATTAGCCCTTGTCCTGTCACTGCAGTTTCTAACAAAGAGTCCCTCTCAAGCTTCCCTGTAGGTCCCTTCAGATACTGGGAAGTGCTATGCGTTATTCACAAAATCTTCTCTTTTCCAGGCTGAACAGCCCCAACTTCCTCAGCCTGTCTTCACAGGGGAGGTGCTCCAGTCCTCTTGTCAACTTCATGGCCTCCTCTGGTCTTGCTCCAATAACTCCATGTCCTTCTTATGTTACAGGCACCAGAACTGCACACAGTATTCCAGGTGGGATCTCATGAGAGCAGAGTAGAGGGGGAGAATCACCTCCTTCAACCTGCTGGCCACACTCCTTTTGATGCAGCTCAGAATTCGATTGGCTTTCTGGGCTGCTAGTCCACACTGCTGGGTCAGTGTGACTTTCTCATCCACCATCACAGCCAAATCTTTCTCCTCAGTGTTGCTCTCTATTACTTGCCCACCCAACCTGTAGCTGTGCCTGGGATTGCCACAGCCCAGATGTAGGACCTTGCATTTCATTTTGTTAAACTTCATGAGGTTTGCATTGGCCCACCTCTCAAGCCTGTCAAGGTCCCTCTGGATGACACATCCCTTCCCTCCAGCATATCAACTGCCCCACACAGCTTGGTGTGGTCAGTGAACTTGCTGAGGGTGCACTCAATTCCACTGTCCATGTTGCTGAGCAGTATCGGCCCCGAGCCACTAACCACAACTCTCTGAGTATGACCATCCAGCCAGTTCTTTATCCACCGAGTGCTCCACCCATCAAATCCATGTCTCTCCAATTTAGAGACAAGGATGACGTGTGGGACAGTGTCAAAAGTTTGCGTAAGTCCAAGTAGATTATGTCAGTTGCTCTGCCCCTAGACGTGTGACACATCACTGTCACATTTACCAGGTTGTCAAGATATTCATTACAATGTGATTTGTTATATTCATTACAGTTCTTCCTAAAATCAAGCAGTATTCTTATAGATCCCCCTCTCCACTCAGAGAACTTCCAGTCCTCAACAAGGAGGCCAAGTGTGAACATTTGAGTGGAAAGCACAGTTCCCAGTACCTGAAGTAGGGTTTATCCGGAGACATGGTAATCTGCAGAACTTCACCGGTCATATCCAGTTCAGCAAACGCTTCTCGTAGCCCCTCCGACTGCAGGATAATTTTATTAACAACCTTTGTGCTGCAGAAATCAAAATCTAGCAACTCCTCAGGTTCTTGGGTGTTAACTTTGCACACTGTCACCACTCCTCCTTCTTCCAAGAACAGCATCAGGGGATAACCATAACCACGGTAACACATCCTAAGGGCTGTTGATGTTCCTGAAAAAAGAGAACAGAATACACCTTCCACAGAGAGCCTAGCTGTCACATTTGATCACTTCAGAAAATTCACATTTTACTGGCACATGAGGCACAGATGAATTGAGTTCTGCATGTTTGGTCCAGCCTCCAACACATTACCATGGAATGCTTAGTGCAGCCTCCTAGACACGCTCTGAAGGGCTAATAGTTATGCAGCAAAATGAAATGATTTCTGTGTAGACAGTTCAAATCCACATAATTTCATCCACCAAAAAGGTAACACATTGTGACAATGCAGATGATTATGTTACAAATAGTTTAGAGGAAGTGGAAAATCCTCCATAGTCCTGAGGCTCTCTCTGGCTCACATTATCTCTCTTTGCTATTACTGTTACTTGTGCAACCCAAACTGAAGTTAATGCAGCTTAGCTTGCCATGCAGTCACACCCTCCTTCTGCAAGATAATCACCACCTGAACGTCTGGTTTCCCAAAATCACAGTGCTGTTTAGTACACTTGATTTAGGTCACAACCAAAACTGCATAGGAATGTGGAGTTCAACATGCAGCTGCAATGGCAGAACTGCCTAAAAAGCTGTCAAAGCTGTCCTGGTACCACTCCACTCCACTCTAGTACACAGTGCATCCTGCAGCACTCACACAGCCGTGTACGTATTGATAGAAAATATACCACACCTGGCAAAGAGCTGGTTCCAAAAATGGTCAGGCAGTCAAGAAGAACAGACAAGTTGATCCGGAACATCACCGATTCCTCCTGAACAGCATATTCCTGGAAAATTTCTGCCTGGAAGTACAAGTAAAGAGATGCAAAATGTGGAGTTTCTGCAATTAATTTACAGTTTGCACTTACTTCCTTAAATTCAGAGCTTTCCCTTTCAGCGATCAGTGCAACAGAAAGTGATTTATATGTGTAACAGAGTATCAATTATACAAAAAAGTGTCTTCACCCTCAAAACTAGTAAAATACGATCAGGTCACAGCTGAAACAAGGTAGCATGGCATAAGCATGAAAATGTAAACACTAGTCTGTTATGACTTAAAAACAAGCTACCAATGTTTAAGCCTAAAGCTGCCTACTTCTGGAGCTGGAAACATTGATGGAACTATGCATTGTGAGTGTCACCCTTATCCAGAAACAATGCTTACTTTTCTTCACTTACAGCAGCACTTCAAATAGTGAAAGTATGTAAGAACAGAACATAACAGTGAGTTCACCACGCTGAAGTATGTTCTGAATCCTGCCTTTGACTAGCCTGATAGGGGTAACTGCTCCACTGTCACTCCCTGCTTTGTGGTACCTGCAGGGACAGAGCACCTCAGAAATAAATCAGGGTGACACGAGCTTCTTTTGAAAAAGCAGTTACGTGTTTTACTGTCAGACCCCATCCCGCGGTGCACCTAGCACAGCACAACCGGCGTAGCCCAGCCGGTAACTTCAGACGAGCACCTGTCAACCTGTGCAGTCTCTCAGAGCTGACACGACTACAACTTTTTTGGCTTTTGGGAAGAGCCACACTCAAAGACGGATGCCCTGGGACCGCCCGTGCGCCTGAGCACAGCCTGAATGCACTTGGCGTTCTCCACCGTCACGCGGAGGCCTCTGGCCGTGGCCAGGCACGTGCCGTGCTCCTGCACGTGGA